CTTCCCTTGCCAAAGAGATCTTTTCATATGTTCAGTTACAATTCTTTCAACAATGTATGTAAATTGTAAAAACTTGGTTTTTTTCAGCTTCTTTCTAATGTGGTTGAGTGAACACTGGATTGACATGTTCAGTGGTCACACTGACATCAATTGAAGTAATGATAAAACAATAATACACATGTTTTCCTGAGAAATACTTTAAAGAGTACATAATATACTAAACCATAAAATGAAAAAGGGAGGATGTATATGCTCTTTAAAATATTTGTATAAATACAGTGTAATATAGACAAAACATGTAAAACAGAAAATAGAACAAAATGTGTCCCAGGTGGCATTATAAACAACCAGAAAAAAATTTTTAAAAGAGCAAAATGGTGTATATTCTATATAAAGGTGTTAACTGGGAACCAAAATTATAAGTTTATATAAAGAGTTCGAAATGAAGGCGAGTGTAAGTAAGCCAGAAGAACACAGTAAGCTGAATGACAATTATTTTATATTTAATTTAAAAGATTAAATAAAAAATGTTTAATATAGGTAGAAAAACATTTTAACTTGACAATAAAATCTATCAGTAAGAAGAGAAAGTGATGGATAATGTAATGAGATAGCCCACTCTAATTAAATTTTCAAAATATAAGTTAATCAAAATCTATATAGGCCAATTAAAAAAATTGAAAATGGGTGATAAGCCAAGATATGAAAAGGGAAATAAGAAACACTAATTAGAGAAAAATATCAGTTCACTAAACTTTTTATTGACTAATTGTCCAGGACAGCACACTATTGCTAAAGAATGAAAGTCATCAGATGCCTACCAGTATGAAAGCTCTAGTGCTTTATATCTTAGCAACACTAGAAAAGTCAAATGGAGCCAAGAAGCTCAAAGTAATTTGCAACATAAGTAAAAAAATAGAGATTAAATAAATTGTATTCTCTTGTTTTCAGTTTTATTCTTCAAATCAATACAGGAAAAAAAGTTCTTTAGTGTTCCACTTTTATAGTTCAAAACATTTTCTTAAAGATCAAATAATTCATATTAAAATGCAAGTGTTTTGTAACTAAAAGAAAATGCATGGATTTGATAAGCCACTCATTTGACAAATTCATAGAAAATAATAAAGTCACTATAGGTATGTGTGCATTTCTGAAATTTAGTTGTAAACTCTTCTTGAAAGGTATCTACAGTGTAAAACAATGTAATTAGACAAATGCTTTCTATTGTTATTTTCAATTTTATGCAAAGGTAGTTTTTCGTATACTTCTCAATAATGACACTTTCATAGGCTTTCCAAATTGTTGTATTTAGTTTTTCCCAATGCTCACATAAAAATTTAATATGTACGTTATGACATAAAACATGTCAAACTTTGTATCGCTATCTAGTCAATCAGCTTGACAGCTCCATTCTCACAGTTGGCATTCTCTCTCTTTCTTCTTTTTGATTGACGGGGCATAACCGCTGACACAATAGCCTCTGACCAAAGGGAATGGTTCTTTTCCAGAGTTATTGTTTTGAATTCTATTCACAGTTAACTGTGTCTCACTGAACCCTTCCAATATAAACAAAATATTTGGATTGCTTTCAAAGTAATAATGCCCAAAGGCAAAATTTAATATAAAACCCAACTTTTTTTCTTTGGCAACTCAGCAGAAAGATCTACAAAATATTTAATGCTTGGCAAAATGACCAGGATCAATTTTTATTGTTGCATCAAGTCAGCCACTATCTTATCCAGTAAGCAGATTGTCTAGTTTTCATTATTTTTTTAAAGCACATTCTATGAGAGGCAGATGCAACATCAGCTGTTCATGACCAATTCTTATGTAACTATGAGGATGAGGCACACACACACACCCCAATCGATTTTGGGAGGACTCACCTCAAATTGCTTGATGCACCTCCAGCTAACATTGTACTGAAGAAAAACTCTATCATGCAGGATCCATTATGTTTCAGTCATCAGCTAAGCAAATTAATAATAGTCATCTTCTAAATATGTCCCCGAATGACTTAGAATATAAGAGGATAATTAAAGACTCCATTTTCTAGGGAATTTTTTCTTCATCCTGTGCATTAGCCAGATAGAATATCTATCTAAGTAAAACAATCTGATCTTGGCTGTCACTGGTCTTTAAAAGGAATTTATATTAGTCAATTCTTCTTAGGAATATTTTTTTCCATTGACAACTTATGCATAGGAAGTTGTCTGGAATTTATCAGCATCAAATGACTGATTCTTAGGATGTATTTCTAGACTCAAAGGTAATGGTTAATAGTCACAGAATATCATTTTTCCTGATGCATTACAGCTTGAGTTTCTCTTTTTGCAATCTGGAAATAAGATGTCTAAAGTTATTTTAGCACGTTGTCTACCATTGGACAAAATAAAGGCAAGTTTCTGGATAATACAAGAAACAAAATCATGAACTGAATGAAATGAAATGAACCTAATGTTAAGTATAAATATAAGAAATATGATAGTGCTGCTGTTACCAACAGTCATTGGTTTATTTAGAAATATTGTCATGGAAGCTTGAACTAGCATGCAGCATGTGCCAAAGTCATCACAGTGTTTTGCTAGACCAGTGGTAGAGATCACATTGCTCAAATCAGCCGACTTTCTTTTCTTACATTCACGTTGCCTTACTTTATCTTTTCATGGTTTCTAATTTTAACCAAATGAAATCATAAGCTTTGGAGTCAGACTTGAGATTGAAGCTTTACTTGCTTGAACTTGGTCAAGTTAGTCTCTAATAGCCTTAGTTTCTTCAACTATAAAATGGTGAAGTTAGATGGGTCAACAGTGAAATGAGATACTGTGTGTGTGCATACACACACATGCACATAATTTAGCAGAGAGTCTACCATAAAGTATCCAATAAACTTTAGCTAGAATGTTTTTTTTATTTCATTATTAAATTTGTAAGATATCCTAATTATTTTAATAAGCTAAGGGTTAATTTAATATATTAAAATGCATGCATTCATTTAATGTCTACCCTCCCTGAAATGTGCTGGTCTTTGACAAACAAGGGTCCAATAAAATAAGACCCTATATTTCGAAAAGCGTACAAACATAGAACCTATCCAAGGAGATACCTATGTGAATAACTCACACTAAGGCAACATAATAGGTATGACAGTAGAAAAATGACTCAAGGAGCAAAGAATCACAGAGGAGGGACTGGTTTATCTTTTCCTTGGGGAATATTCAAGGGAGGTTCTATAGAAAAGATAGCCCTTGAATTTGACCTTGAAACATGAGTAGGAATGTGCCGGTTCAAGAGGAGAAGGGGAATTCCCAGCCAAAAGAATGAGCAATGCTTCAGAGATGTTCATACAACACACTGTGCTTGGAATGTGAATGAGGCCTGGCTAGCGGGCTGCATGACTTCAGCTCTACTGAAGAAACAGTCTTTCTGAATCTCACCATTGTTATCAATAGCAACATTACAGCAAATACACAATTCAGTTAGTTTTGAGATCTCTATCCATTGGCTCTGTGATGACCCACCACCAAATGTAGCCCCCTTTGTTTTCAATCATGGATTTTGGAATATTTTATTTCTATCCATTTCCCCTACTCATACATTAGCTAGGATGACATGACCTTATTTACTATCTTCTAGGCACTTCACATTCCATTTCCCTTGCAAAAAACATTACCACCTCTGTAGATGCCCATAGTCACATTTATCTGCTGACTTAACAAACCATCCAAACATTACAGCATTTGATTTCAAGAGCTGCTGTCAAACTTCATAGGCCTATTGTCCCTCTCTTCTTTTTCATTATTCCAATCAGGTCCCCACTGGTTCAGCCTATTGATTTTATTCAGACAGCATTAATTGGATGGTTATGATTGCAGATTCTAAAACTTGATTGCCTGGGTTTATATTCTCAGTTCTCTACTGCATACTTATGTGACATGAGACATATACTTTATCCTCAGTGTCCCTATCTGTAAAATGGCAATAGTACTAATACTTCACTTATAGGATTAAATGAGTCAGGAGTAGGTGAGTTAATACAGATACAGCATTTATATAGTGTTTGACACACGAGCAACATTCAGTAGGTTTTCAGCTAATATTAATATTCCCTCTTCCAAACATACATGTCCTACTTTAGATTATCATTTCAAAGATTTTTAAATGGCCCATGGTGATCTTTCCAATGATGCATGAATATATGCTTGTTGTAATTGAGACAAGCAATAACTAACGACATGAAGTCTAACTGAAGCATTCCCTTTACTTCCCACCACTGATTCCACACCTCAGAGGCAACCCCTGTTCAGAGTTTCACAGGTACAATTCTGGTTCTTTATCTCTATGTTTGTTCCTTTGAACATAAATTAGGTCTTACCTCACGAATTATTCTGGAACTTATTTTTTTTTTTACTTAACAATATATTACAGATGACTTTCTATGAAAATACATATTAAATTCATTTATTTACCAAATATTTCCTAAAATGTTATAATGTTCTAGGCTTTTTTCTGCTTGCTGAAGATAACTCAGGATAGAAAAAAAAACCTGAGTTATATACACCCAATTGAAGTTTACATTTTCTTTAATGTATATCTTTAGGAATGTTTATGGAAGTGCTACATAAAGGGTTTTCTGTGGTCAAATAAATTTGAGGAACACTATAGGTTTCTTTACTGAAGTGTCCATGTGCATTATAAATGTCCAATGTGGGTGCATAACACACAGTATTTTTTTCACCATACATACATTAACAAATTGAAGAGCAGTTTTCTATCTGTTTCCATGTGACAAATGATGTTTGAATTGCTTAGAATTATGCCAATCCTTTTAGGTCTGTAATAGCTAGGGCATACACAAATTATCAGAATTGAAAATATAGTATAAAAGGTTTTGTTATTTTCCCCTACTATATTTTCTTAGGTAAGGCTAGGCCATAGTAATAAATACTTTCCAAAATATATAATTGATCAAATATAATAAAAATGTATTTCTTACTCACATAACAGTACATGGTGGCTACTCCTGGATGGCTGGTATCTCTCTTCAACACATGGTGATTTGGGAACAGGAGCTTCTTCCCTTTCATAAGTCTTCTGTCCCCTAGGGTCTCATTGTCATCTGTACTCCAGTGGTGGGCAAGCAAAGAAAATGCAGAATAGTTAGACCTTGTTCTTGATAGCCTTGATTTAAGTTAAACACATCATTTCTGTACATTCCCTTAGCAAGAACTATACACATAGCCATACCTAACTGTGAAAAGGTATGGGGAATACAATCTAACTTTACACTCAAGAAAAAAAGCAAATAATCATTGGCTAAAAATCAACAGTCTTTGACACATCTACCAGACCATAAAAATAACATGGCTCACAATTACTGGACATTTATTACATGGCAGGCTCAATTCTAACTTGTGCTCAATTCTTACCTGTACTAGCTCACATAATATTCAAAATTATTATATAAGAGGTAGGCACTTCTGTTTTATAAAAGAATAAGTTAATCAAGGTCACCAGCTTGTATGTGATAGAATCAGGACAGAAACCCGAGCTGAGTGTCGGGCCTTTCTTCTTTTCCATGCTGCCTCTCAGCAACTCAGCGTGCCCACGGCCCAGCACGCTGGGGTCAGTGTTGCCTCTAGTCTCCTATGTGGTCTCCTTTGCCTCAGTTCCTTCAGACTTTTTCAACAATATTACCCCTCTCCCAGGGTTCTGGCTTCATCTGGAATAGTGAATATTAGATTCTTCACATCCTACACTTTTTTGAAAGACGCTTTAGCTCATTCAGATAATTCGTAGTGGAACAGCAAAAAGGCAAACTTTATTTGGCTAATGTTGGTCATACCCTAGAATATAATTTTGATATTTGGTTATGAAATACCTCTCCATATCCTTTTTCCATCTTATTACTTGACTGTCTTTTATGAAGAATCACAGTCTCGGTTTCCTTTCTGCTCCCCCACATCCTTCTTGAAAAGTTTCTCTTACTCATACCAAACTTAAGTATTGGTGTTCTTGAGATTTACTTTATGTATCTTCTTTTCTTGCTCTTGTGAAATAATCATATTTACTCCATGACTTCAATTAAAATCATGTCTGTTTTCCATCCTAGGGCACTAGAAGGCCAGCGGTCAGGGAAGAGGTAGTGGCTAGATAACACCTAATGGAAGTATGACGATACATCAAAGCATCTAGATACCTTTGCAAATTAATTTTCCTTCACCTTCTCTGCACCAAAAATTCTTATATTCTCATTGTAGCACTTAGCTATTGCTATAATAATACCGAGCAACAAACTACTAAACTAAAACTCAGTGACTTAGAACAATAGTTACTCTCATATTCCCAAGCCTGTGAGTTGGCAGGGAAGTTCTTCTTCAGACTGTAGGTCTGTGGGTTGATTGGGACAGGTTTACTTCATGTGTATCTCATCTTACTGAAGCCAGCAGGCTACTTTGGATTTGTTCTTCCTGTAATCATGACAAAAATGTAAAAGGCCAAGCCCAGAAATGTCAACACATTGTGTACCTCTGTATACAACATATTGGCTAAAATCTTATTGGTCAGTGTAAGTCACATGCTGAGCCCAAAAACAAGGGGTAGACAAGTACACTCATCTCTAGTGGGAAGAACTGCAAAGGCACAAGGCACTAGATACGGATACAAAAAGGGGAGAAAATTTGGGAAGATTAATTCAATATACTACCCTCCTATTTAAAAATGTATAGGCACAATCAGTCACTTTGGCTAATGTGAGTATCCTGAAATCTGGCAAACGGATTGGAGTAGATAAAAGCACAAATACCTCTGGAATACTTTCTGGTAACTACTGAGCCTATATCTTTAGCTCAGGCCTCTCTTTGGAGCTTTAGATAGTTTATTTATCTTTTCATTTTCTCAGCACCTGCATTTGTTGAGCACCTACTAAATATAAAGCATTATATAAGACACTAGTGGTACAGAAACAAGGAATAACACCTGTGGCCCTGTTGCCATGAAATTGAGAGTCTAACAGGAAGTCATATATTAACAATAACTAGTTAATAAATTAAAATTGGGAAAGGTACTTTGAAAAAAGAGAGTTAGTTATAAATTAAGTGTTTATAACTGGGAGATATGATCTATTCTGTTATTATAAGGAGGGCTCGCTTGAAGTGATATTTCAGCTGCAGCGAAAGGCTTAGTAAAAACTGACTAGGTGAACTCTAGACAGAAAAATAATATGAAATGTGCATAAGATAGAATGGGAAATGGTAACAAAGTCCAGCTGGGAGAACATAGGGGAAAATGAAAGACTGGTTCACAACAACAAAAAGAATAAAAACTATAAGGTGATGACCAGACAGTAAAAGGTCAGATGCCCAGGTCTTTAGTCTCGTTCTTAAAAGTAATGGACTGTCATTAAAACATTTCATGCATAGGTGAGAGATGGTCAAATTTGCATGATCAGACTTGACCTAAGTAAGAAAAATGGGGAATGTCAATTAAGAGGTTATTGCAGTTTTTCATGAAATAGGCTGGAATAGGCTGGTGGCAGTGGATATGAATCAATGTAAACACTTCTAACAGAGATTAGATGGCATAATTCACAGAACTTGGTGATTGAATGGATATGGGGATCTAAGAGAGTGACGTCAAGATTGACTTTAAGTGTCCAGGTTGTGAACTCAGTGAGTGATAGTATCATTTGCTGAGAAAAAGGAAAAATCAGAAGAGGCCCAGCTTTATGGGGAAGATCATTAATTCAGTTCTGAAAGTGTTGAAGATGAAGATGAAATATCCAAGTACAGATGTGGATGACCTAACTAGAAAGATGAATCTGGAAGAGGACCAGGTTCATGGGGAAGATCATGAATTCAGTTTCAAAGATGTAGAAGAGATGAGGCATCCATGTGGAGATGTGGATGACCTAATTATGTAGTAGAGTCTGGAGCGCATAGAAAATAATTACATGAGAGAAATAAATTTGAGAATCACCGGATATAGATGTACTTGAATCCATATGTGCAGATGAGATCACCTTGGGAGAGAATATAGAGGGATAAAAAGACAGAATGGCAAGAGCATATGAATGTCATTGGAGAGTTAGTTTTAGGAAGAACCAACAAAGGTGAGAAAGAAGAAGAGCAAGGAGACATAGCAGAAAAACCAGTTATGTGTGGTGACACAGAAACCAAAATATAATAAGAGTATATTCCAAGAAATATATATTAATATTATTGAGTACTGCTGAGAGACCAGTCATACTGAGGACAGAAAATACTGTTGATTTGATTATGCGGCAATTCCCTAACTTCCTCAACTAGAATGACTTTTGCATTCTTCCTCAGCCAGCCACCGCAAGAGTCACCTTAGATCTTATTATCTAATCCACTAATGCCCCCAAATCACTTTTCAAAACTGACTTCTTCTATTTCCAGGTACATGTTTAACTCTTCCTAGTGATGCCATTCTAACATGTAATTGTGACTGTTTGTTATAAAGTTGATCCATTAGTATAATGCTTTCTTTTATTTTTCCTAATTCAGTTTATAACACTCTGACCAATACCCCACTCACTTCTCCTTTACTAAACCCATGTTGCAAAATTTCAACCCTGAATTAACATAAGTGTGTGATTATTTGTTTGTTTGTTTGTTTTAAGGTTACTGTGGGTTGGCTGGGTACTACTGGAGAAAGACATAAAGCATGGGAGGCAGTTTCTACAAAATATTCTTGTCTTCCAATTTCATCTAGGCCCTCAACAATGCCTGCCAGTTTTACCATGTTTCTCTGGATAGTACATTTTCCTACTCTCCACAATGGCAATCAGTAGGGATACAATTAAAAAAAAAATCAGTGAGTAAAAGCTTTCCAATGTTTTTACAGCTCCTAAAATCACCACTGTAGCTTTTTGAATCTAAAAAGGGGATTCTCATTCCCACTTCCATTTCCATCAGATAAGAGTCACTCTACTACTCACTAATAAGCCTGAAAACCTTCCTGCATTTACACTGGTCTTTCCTCATTCTCTCCTATTTCAATACATTAGGTGTCCTCTCTCCAATCAATCTAAGGCCAAGGCTGTTGTACAAACTTTGGATCCCGTTTATTTCATCCTTCACAAAACTGCATGGTATGATTTTCCTTTTACTCTTTGTAACTGCAACTTTGATCTGGCTCATCAATACTTAAACTGCCGAAATACCGACTATCTCAAAAAAAGAAGCCCTCCCTTCTGGTGGAGGTGTGACTAATCACTGAGGTTGCTGCCTTTGGAACCTAGACATGCATTCTGCTAGTTGCCAAAAGTATTTGCAGCTGATGGCTCATAGGTGAGTCCCTCCCCAGGTATTATCATAAGTAGCATATAAAAAGAATCTCTTTTCCTGTAGATGAAGGGGTGAAAAAGCTGAGGATTATTTTGAGGGTAATTAAGCTTAATTATAAGGATAGTTAAACTCTAGAGAAGGTTGAATTTCAACCTTGCTAGTCTGTCATGCCAAAGTTAGGGCTCTGATTAGGAAAGAGGGAAACTTGACATTTTGAGATGGGAAAATCTGAATCAACATACACAAAAATTTTGATCCTCAAATTCTGCTGAATCATCTGAGCCTCCAGAAATTGCCTATTTCTTCACCATGAAGGCTAATACTAACTATCAATTGTGGGCAAGTCAAAGGCTCTGTCTTGCAAGACAATGTGCATATCCTTCCAGATTTATTATCGTCTCCCCTCCTGATGACCAGACTAATAAACACGGTCAAGGTATCATATAACTCAGCTGAAGGCATGATACATGTACTGAGAGAGGAGACTATACCACAGAGGAACTAGGACTTAACCAAGATATACCTGCAGAAGCCAGAGGAGTATGTGTGATTTTCAGACAGGTGGGTTCTGGGTCAGAGAGGAGGTGGTAAAACATAAAGTCGGATAACAGGGAGTTTATCAACATGGAAGCACTTTTCTTTTGTGGACAGAAAAGGGGCCACACATTAACCTGACAAGCTCAGGAGACTGAAAATAACCACATAAGATGGCGTGAGCATAAAAAACTTTCGTAACCTAGTGGGCCAGGGTGAGAAGTCACATCTTTAGCTTCCTTCATAAAGTTAACCTGTACCTTTTCAGTGGGCCTGCCTGTTGTCTTTTTGCACCTAAGATAACATCTTTGGAATGTCAGTAATCCTTTTTCCAGACCAGAGCTGAAAACTGCAAAACTCCTCATTATTATGCTTGTCTCCTGGTTACCATCTCTATGTGCTGTAAAAAGCAAGCTGTTCACTATCCTGCACCCACCTATGTAAAAGAAGAAGTCCCTTTCTCTCCAATTTACTTTTATCCAATCCCAGAGATTCCCCGCTTTGTTTTACTCACACCCCCTTAATCTTTCACCAATGAATTTCATGTAACCTTCCTCCTTTGATTTTATGTATAAAATAAGCTGCAACCCACCATTTCTGAGAACATTTTCTCAGTCTGTTGAGATTTTGCTTCCTGGCAATTGTCGTCAGTTTGGCTCAAATAAACTCTTATAAGTTTTCTCTTAGGCTGGATGTTTTTCATTGACATTATGATACAGGATTTAATACCTTGGTAAAAAGCCCTGGGAAATGGTACAAAAACCTGCTTGAATAGCTTTTGGAAATTGGGGAAAGGTGTTGACCAGTACAAAGCAAAGTAGAAATGAAGAAATTAGCATGAAAAATGATGGAAGAAGAAGTCAAAATGCTCAGAGAAACAAGTATTGTGAGACAGCTTTACACATGAGGCTGGGAATATGACCAGACAACTCTATTTCACACCCTTGTGGAGTTCCCAGATGATACTCCATTTGTCAGGTCATTAAGGAACCGTCCAGGAATTTCAGTGGTAGCTGTCCTCTGTAGACCAGGACCAACCATACAGGATATTATTACAGAACTGGTCTCTGTGATAATAATGGGGATGAGAGGATCCAAAATAATAATAGCAGAGGACAGGAAGACATGATTAGGTTTCAGAACAAGATAGGTACAAGTCATTTTAAAGAACAGTGGGTTGGAGTCCAGTGGGTTGGGTCAGTGCTGATTCACAGAGCTATAGAAGCAGTTTATGGAATATGATCTATGAAGGGCAAGGAAGATGAGGAGCCAACAAGGGTATTTGCAATCTAAATAATTTTTTAAAGGCAAGATTGGATTATCAAGAGGTTGAGGAAGCTGCCATAATAAAAAGTCATAATCCCTTGCCTAGTTTCCAGGCTTGCTGAAAACTAGATCCACCACCCATTAAATGAAAGAGAGGCTGTTTCACTCAGAGGAAGTAACTTGCAACCCCATGTCAAATGTTTATGGTGACTTGTCAATTCCAAAATCTTTCTCTATTTTCTTTTTTATAAAATAGGGGCAATAACAGTGTTTCCTCTTTGGAGATATAATGTGGATTAAATAAAATAATATATGTGGTCTTTGATAAATGTTCAAAAATATTAAATATTTTTTTTTGTTAGAAGGTTCAGTACTTATCTGCTTTATTGGTACAAAGCAGTTATAAGTTTAACATTTTCCACTAATAACACACAAGAATAGTCTCTTTTTTAAAATGTCAGTTCTCTCTCACACATACAATGGTGCAAGGAAATTCAGTGACCACCTTACCAGTTGTTTCATCTCTTCCTTGGGCTCTTCCGTACAACCCATCTTTTATCTAATCTCTTTCAACTTTTGAACTGTGCTGCTTGATCTTTCAATTCTTGATCTGTAAAGAAGAATATATTTTTTAATAATTCACCCTAAGAATCAGATCATGTCTATCACTCAACCTCTTTCTGATGCCACCAACATAAAGCTTCTGGATTTCGTTTTATCATAAATATTTCAATAAATCTATAGGTAGCTTTGGAGATTTATTTTTGAAAAAAAAAAGAACATTCTTAGATGTTTAAGAAAAGCCCCTTTAATACTTTTAAATTTTAATAATTGGGCCAAAGACAATTCTTTATTTTATAAATTGTGAATATTTGCATCTTATTCAAGTATTTTTTTTAGATTTTGATTAAATAATTATTTTTAAAAGTAAACCAATAATTTTTGAAGGCTTTATTTTTTAAAGGGAAAGAAAAATTCAAAAGGAGTAAAAAAAAGATAACCCTGTACAACTTGTCTTTTGCAAGTTCTGAGAGTAATTCTGCTTGGCAAAAGAAGAAATGGGAGTCAAACAGTCTTCTGACAGAGGCAGAAACTGATATAATGCAGTTTTTTAATTTAAATAAAGACAAATAAGGTTAAAATTACCTAACTTTATTTGTATCCCACATGCTGCAGAGCTAACTTACTGCTACCATCTGAAGAAAGGTCGTACTAAGTTTAATTACAGTGCTACTAAGTCTTTTCACTTTAGAAATATTTACTGAGTTCAAAATACATGTACAAAGGCGTGCCTCTACCAGACACCATCAGTCTACAAGTATAAATAAATTTGATCCCTTCACTTAAAGGAGGTTGCAGTCCAACTGGGAAGAATATAAGCATGCCATTAATGCTGATAAAAGGATAACTGTAGTAATGGATTACCATTCATTGAAATTGGAAGATTTGGTAGGAGAGTTGGCATTTGGACTGGATCTTGACAGGAACACCCTTCCTCTTAAAGACGGAAATGATGGTAAAGGACAAGATAAGAAAAAAGAAATGTGTGCAACTTGAGAGGCACAGTGCATAGAACGGAATGCTGAGCAATTCAACAGGTAAGGTGTTAGTAGCAGCAATAACTGAACCTGGATTTCCTGGAGTCCTCTTCTTTGAGTATTTCCATAGGATATTCAGAAATTTAAATTTATTTTTAGAACAGGAGTCACCATCAAAGGTTATTTGTGAATTGTGTTTGGTGGGAGTAGAGATAGGGACCAGAGCAGTGATATAATAATGTGATTACTTGTGTTTGGAGAAAAGTACTATCAAAGAAGCTAAGTGATGGGTACTAATAGCCTTCTTTTTTAGAGCTAGTTGGTGGGAACGGTGAATCTCTAAATTAACTACTTTTTATTATTTTTCATATCCTCATCTGCATACATTGAGCACAACCCCTTGTCTGATATTCAGTACATGTTTGTTGAAAGTCTTTGGTTTTAAGAAACCTACATGTAAAGACTTAGCTCTAATACTCTAGGGAATGAGACAGTTTTTAGGTGTTTTTTAAACAAAGAGCCACAAAGATAACATCAAAGGACAGAATCTAGTTCTGACTAGGAGCACAGGGAGTATGGGTACATTTGAGCTGGACTTGATTCATTGGTAAAAGCCTAAAACAAAAGCCTAGAACATCTAGGAGAGATCATCAATGCCTCATAGGGAGTGGCCATGAAGTTGAAGGAGAAAATCCTAAAATGGATATTCATCTATTTCCTAGAGTCAAAGAACTGCCCAGTCTGTAAAGAAATATGAGTAGATTAGGGAGGACATATATTTATTCTATCACCTTCTGCATGAGTATGTGTATGTATCTGGGTACTGACAGGGAATATGTGACATACTCTAATTGTATAATTTGTGGAAAGTGTAATGAAAGGACCACTTACAAAGGTGTGGATAAGATGTAGGAAAATCACAAAATATACTGCAATACCCTGGGTCTCATAACACTGGATGCTTTCATCATATGTAGTTCTTCAGGAGAGAAGACAGGTTGCACTACTAGCAGTGGAGAGGGAGCATTGTTAGGAGAGGGCTGTCCATAGGAGTTTCTACCTGTGACCATGGGATGCAGCCAGCGCTTAGCTAAGCTACAGAGAGGAAGCAGCATACCTCATTCTGATCCCTTACTAAAGACCTTCGTTTGCTTAACCAAACAGGAAACCAGTGGATAAGGAAGTCCTTTGATGCAAACCATGCTGTCAGTCTCACTGGGCACAGAGCTGGGTGAGGGGGATTTGAGGGAAAAATAGAAGCAATACCAACAGTATGCAGAACCACTCCTGACTGCCCTTAACAAACTGAAGCTTTTACAATGAAAATACTAAAACTAAACAAAATAACACATATCTACTTGGGTTATCATGAGAAAAAATCATTTTTCTTTTATGATATATTTCCAAATGCCAGCTTACTCTTGAAAATTTCTTCTGCCATATATTGGGTTGTCGGGAAAGCCATGACGTACATTTTGTTTCTCGTTGCAAAAATGCATCATGACTTTTCTGACAACCCAATATTTAATACTCACACTTAGACACACCGACATAAAAAGAGTATGTGAATATAATTACAAAATGTAGCTTGTATATTGCATGTGCATTTTCTTGACTAAAAGCTACTCAACTAGTGACTAGATTTTTAATTTTTTATGTAAATTGACAGCAAATTTGCCCAAACTTGTAATATGAACTTTAAAACGTGGGTATTTATCTTTTACCCTTGCTGTCACACCTCATGAAAGGCCTCATTTTGTCAAAATGAAATGTGGAAACAAATAATTTTTTCAAATGCTCAGATAAATGATGCACTACTAATTATACAAAACTTAAATACTTGAATCATTTTTCACCACATGAGATTTCACAAGATATATAATCATTAAAGTATAAAAACTACAGTTCTAAAAATATCTGCAAATAGAAAAAGATCTTGAACTCTCTTATACTTGAGCTACAATTTAAGACCTACAAAGATAATCAAATGTAAGTGTTCAATCTTCATTTGGAATCTAGAGTATACAACTTATTTATAAATTGAACATTACAGTGTCAGGTCAAAAAGTATAGGCCTGAAGAGGACCACACTTGACTCTTTAGAGCAACACAGACTGCACACAAGGCCTGTGGCTAGCTAAAAATCAGTGTGTCTATAAACCCATAGAATTAGGCATTTTTATTATGAAATATCCAAACCAAAACAAAAACCAGCACTAATTTAAAGGGTCTTGATTTTGCCTTAAATGTCTCAAAAAACTTTCAAATATTACATGATAAAAAATATAAATACATTAAAGAGCAATGAAAATTAACAAAATTGCTAAATCATCCTAATGTGAAAAATCAGAAAGGGGACTGTTTTTATCGGTAGTAACATCCTATATGCCATAAGCAAAGCATTCAATGTTCAATTTCCATTTCAAAACCTCTGTTTTCATTCTCATTGTTCATAGTTGCTTTGATGTTCCTGCACTCTGACAGAGAGCATGGTTTCATTTGGGGAAAGGAATCAATTTCTCAATGTAAATTGTGATTTATACACTTCCCTTCCTCACCTATTTTGAATTGATTTGATTCTAGAAGCAGTAAGACACGTGAAAAACACTGTTTTGCTTGATTTAATAAACACTTGGAAAATGGCTTGTTGGATAAGCCCTAGACCAAAAACTAGCAATCCTGAAGGAATGTATTATATTTCCCTTTTCTATGTCAGTGCCTTTCTTAGTGTTCATGGCTCTACTCTTTAATTAAGGTACAAAGGAATTCTCAGGTCAAGAGGAAGCTAACATCGCTGCATAGGAAATCCATCTACTTTATAATAACCTATTTTCAGGAAGCACTTAATTTTGGCTCCTAAGTATGGTTTATTAAAATTGCATGGTAGTGTTAAAATTGATAGAACTCAGGCCTGAGCCTCTTGCAAAGTTCTAAAGAGAGAAGTAAAATAGTGAAGTAGTTTATTTTTACAATTATATCCATGGGTCAATCAAAAACAATCAAATTTTGAGTGCATCTATAGAGGAAGCATAAGTTTCCCCAAAAGGTAAATGCTTAATAATTCAAATTGTTTGGTTAAAGGAATAATGAAATATCTTGGGGCAAAATACTGATTACATACTTTTGTTTGGTACTCTGTTGAATACTTCACTTACATATATGTAATACTCCAAAGCTATCACTATGCTCATTTCAAGACAAGGAGTACAGAACTTCATTGCAAATAGTTTTCATTTTCTTGAGTGCCTTTCTGATCATCATATTAGAACATAACCAAAATCTCTCCAATAGCCATATGGTAGTCATCTATTGAAAACCCTGTTTTCTGTCTTGGCAGAAATCAACATGTGAGTGATTATGAATTGCTATAGCTCTTAGATACATCCCTGTCAATCAGGATAACCTCACATATAACAGATCTTCACTGAAGGAAGAAAGTTGAATGCTCACCAGATATTTGCCACATTAATAATCTTTTACCAGGCAATATTCTGGAAATCAAAGGAAACTATATTAATAGCTATTGGCAGTAAAACAAAAACCAAGCCTTAGAAAAACCAAAAGGAGTCTGAGTATATAAGCTTCTGTAGTCCAGTCTTCTTTACAGAAATCAGGCCATGTTGAGGAATAGGAGGCATTTTTTTTCCCCCCTGATCAAGGTTCTCACCAGAGTTCCAGCATGTTCTTGTGGCAAATATGGCCTAAAGGACTAACTTGGGAGTGATACTCTAAAACAACTCTTAGATAAGAATATAAAATGGAATCATTATAAGTATAGTTACCAGAAGAAAATTATTGCAGAAATAGACTGAAAACAATGCAACCAACCTGACTTGTTTACATACGCTAATAAATATGTATTGAGCAAAGACTTTTTTTTTTTTACATCCTAAGATGATACTTTTCTATGGAAAAATATTGTTGACACTGCTATGTACATGCAGGCTCTTTTTCTTCTTTGCTTTCCTCATTTTACCTTCAAATTTAAGTAACTATGATACAAGAAACGATGGTTAAGAGAACTCATATCTGGGGACAGAAAGACATGGGTTTGCAATCCTGTTCCATCTCT